AGAGCCTAAGTTCAAAACCCATGTTCAGAATATGACCCCATCTGTGTGCCTGAAGGGCCTTCCTTTGACTTTCCAGCATCCCCAGAAGGTAAGCATCACTCAAGCCCCATCTCCCCAAGGCCTCTGGCTGCCATTCATGGCATTTGGGCTCCATATTCGGTCTTCTAAGGAGGTCCCAAGTTTCACTGCCATTGTCCCATCACTTCTAGGGTCTTCCCGATTAAAGGACAGATTACTTTCATTACTTGGAGTTGGCACAACTAGCACTTGCGACTTCCTGTGGCTATATCTCTCTGCATACCCACAGCTGGGAATCTCTGAGGGCTAAGACCATGTTTCCTCTGTGCAGAAGCTGGGCATTATTGCCCTCTGAACAATCCCTGACCCTTGCCATCCTTAGAACTCAGGAAGCCCAGCCAGGGCAAAACCTGAGTACTGTACACCTTCTACTCCTCTCCCAGCTTTGAAACCAAGCAGGGCACCCTTCCAGCAAGGGACACCTCTGTTAGTAAGCAGGGATAATCTGACTAGGAAGTTTCTAGCTGCGATTTGTGACAGATCTTACTAACCTCATCCCAGAAGGACAGGTCAGGAGATCATTTTACACACTGGGGACAAACTTTAGGACCCAGGACATATCTGCTTCCTGCTCCTGGACTGGTTTGGGCTACTTCCTTACCTACAGCCTGACCCACAACCACCCATACCCCTTGGAAGTTTGGGAGTCAGTAGGGATCCAAGATGGATGAGGACAGGATTCAAGTGGATGCCATTTGCTCTTTATTATTATTGTTTTCTTGTAAAGAAGAAGACAAAATGTAACAGCCAAACTCAACAATTATGAAAAGAAAGAGAGAGAGAGAAATCAGAAGCAAGTTTGTCTGTTGTTCCCAGGCTCCAGTGAAATGCTGACATATTACCGAATGCACAGATTTCCCAGCTGACAAGGGTTAACACATGAATACAAGCACAGTTTAAAGTGGTACCAAAATTAATCAATTTCACAGTAATTATTTCTATAAGCTCAGTTGCACATATCAGGGTTTCCACTGTCACAAATTCACAATGTCAGAATGAAATAGCAGATGTGTTCAGGTCTGGGAAAGTGGCATCTGTGACGGGAGATGGATTGAGAGGCAAAAGCAGCTGGGGGATTTGTCCCAATCCTGAAGATCTGAAGGCTGGGGGTGGGTAAAGGGCAGGCACTGTTCAGCAGTCAGATGTCAGTACAGTGAAACAACTGTTGAGGCATTGAGCTTGAGAGGGTGTGCTATTTGGGTATGTTTGTCAGAGAAATTCTTGCTAGAGAGAGACTCGCTGCCCACAGTCTGAAAGGAAAAGCTCCCACGTTTGAATATTTGGAGGCGAATGATGGAGCGGCCAGTCTGATAGTGAAGCATCTGCTTTACAGAATATTTAGAAAGATACATCACGTGTATTAGTTTAAATTGCAGTCCAGTTCACAAACTATGTTATTCACAGGATAAATAAAGGAGTAGAGTGAAAGGCTGCAATATCCAACATCCTTGCGATGGAGAGAGAACAAGAGATCACCCTGTACATACAAGAAGTGCTGAACCGCAAAGCTGAAGGCACGGTGAAGGGATCCTTAATATCTTGAGCCTTTTCTTTGAAAAGGGTACTCATTTTAAACTGGATTTCTCTTACACAAAAGACCCTGAACATTGGCTAAAAGGAAGAATATTTCAAATATTTTTATGTAGCCAGAATCACAGCTACTGTGAATTGTCTTGAGTTGTGATTTTCTTGAAGTTCTGAAGTAGTGGGCTTCAAATTAATGGACTTTTACTATAGTTGCAAGCAGTCTGATTACTGTACCTTTAAATTAGCTAATTGTAGTGATTAGTATCAGTAGAGTTCCATGGCAGGAGGGTGGAGGGCTGTGCTTGTTTCTGAATCGGTGAAGTCCTGAAATGGAGCTTCATTACTTGTCAAGCTGAAAAGCCACCTAGACCAGCAGCTCTACTGCCAAGACATCCATCTCAGCCTCAACTGTGAGTGTCCACACATGAGACAGCACACATGCATACTCCTAGAAAGACAGAGCCTCCGTGAGTGAGACTCTCTCCATGATCTCTCTCTCTCGGACAAAATAACAATCTAGAGGCAGTGTTTAACTTTTTTTTTCTTCCTTCTCATGGGATGTCATTTGGTTGTCAAAAGATCAGCTCCGGCTGGGGGTTGTGATGCTCCACCCACCGGGAGAGGGGAACCATTTGGCTCTGACTACTTGACAAAAAGACACTTTCCTGTCCTGAATTCCTCATATTCGGGCTACCAAAAAGGCGATGTCCGACAGATCAGGCAGACTCCTGTTTCTGGAAGCACCCTAAGGAATTCACATTCATGGCAGTGGGATTGGAAGTTGAAAGAGAGACCTCCCGGGGCTGACTGCTCAGCACTGCATCTCCCTCAGCCAGCGCTCAACGCAGCTGTGCGGGTGGTGTGCACACGCCAGGCACCTGTGCACCCCACTCTTGCACTTGTGCTTTCATTTTGAAAACCAGAGGCAATGGGGAGTGGGGGGAGGGACAGGATCTCGATTTTTCTTTTAAAAAATCTTAAAAAGTTTTTGGTTGAAAACAAGTGACAGTCACATTTCAAGAAATTTTTAAAGACTTCTTTTTGAAAAATGAAAAACATCTAAGTAACTAGCCCCGCCATACCCAAAGTCAATAGTCACACATCTTTCCACAAAAAGAAAAAAAAAAAAAAAACATGCCCAGGAGTGCTCAGATTTCTTTCAGCTGCTGACGCCCACAGAACAGGAGCCTGGGCCAGGGGCATCATGCCAAAAGGGCGTGTGAGCGGGGGTTGCACAGGGTGGAGGCCTGCAGAATGGAGCTGCTTTGTCTTCTTCCAAAGCCTTTTTCAAGGAGGCAAAGGATGACAACTTTGGGGGTTGGGCGTCCAATAGTTAATGTCACTTTTCCTTGCTCAGGGTCCTGTCATCAGGCTACTCAGTCCTGGGAGGGGAGGTGACATTCCTCTTTTCAGACCGGATCCCTCCTGGTACAAATATAGCTGCACACCGGCTATTGTTTCAGATAAGCAATGAGAAAAGGCAACGTGCACACTTAGATACACACACACACACAGACACACACACACACACACACACACACACACGCATAGAAGTCCAAAAACAACAAAAATGTAGCCACAAAAGAGTTAGCATTGTATCAAATCCACCTCCATACAAAGACAGAGTTTGAAAAGATATGTACAGGGCATTCGTAAAAGCCAAGTGTGCGCCGCAAGGAGTGATGCCACTGTGCGCTGTACAGTCTTTTTTCTACAATGTGCTGCAAAAACCATCCCAGAGACCAGGGTGCAACCCCACCTGGCAGAACATCATGAAGCATCTGAACCGAACACCACAGGCCTTAAGCAACCAGCTGTGACTCTTCCCATGGCCTGTCCTCAGTCCCTGAAGGACACATGCTGCTCTCCATGGGCCAGGCCTTGGGCTTCTTCCTGCTCTCTCCCATTACCACCCAGCTGCAACTCAGATGCCAAAGGCAGCGGGCATTTCTTGGCAAGCTCCCTTTGGCTCTGATCAGCGGAGCTCATGCCCGGCTCTGTGCTGAGTAGACTTAGGATAAGTTTCTTCTCACCTGCTCCCAGGTCACACTCTGGCACCTACTTGAAGAAATATTGGGAGAGCCAGGGCTAGCCCCGAGCTTCAGGTTTCCCCAGGTCCCCCAACATGGAAAAAGCAGGGGCCTTCTAAGCCAAAAACCCCTTTGTGACGAAGGGCAAGAGTGCAATGTTGAAGGCCCAGGGGAAGGAAAGACAAAGGAATGAAAGGTAGAATGTCACCTGCTTAGCATCTCTGGCATCAGGGAGCTCTGGGGAGGACGAGAGGATGGAAAGGGTCAACTGACGGGAGATTGACTCCCCAAGTGGAGACTTAACATCAGAGGCATATGAGGGCCTCAGCTAAGACTGCTTCCTTACAACCTGCACCTTTCTAGAAGACTCTTCCTAAGGCAAACCTCACTGGCTTCCTGGCACTTCAAGCATTTCACAGGCATTTGCTCAGTCAGCCTCCAACAGGCCTATGAGGTAGGGGGAAGGATGGAAAACCCCAGCCACAGGGTCGAGTGGTCCAAGCTGGTGGCCTCACTGGGATAGGGACACAAGCCTTCTCACTGGAAGCACGTCCCAGGGCAAGTCCTCAGGGCTATAGCAGCCTCCAGAAGTCCTCTGTGGCCTGAAGGCAGGGCTGCATTCAAGGAATGAGTCCCAATGTCTGCCTTAGAGAGATATTTTGATAGAAAGAAGCTTGTCAACTGAGTGAGTTTTAAACTGCTGTGGTTGCCAATAGACCCAGGCCATGCATTCTTGCACCACACAAAAATTTGCTACAGTTTTTAAAGCACCACAGAGGAGAAATGGTTTGGTGTCGAGGTCAAGAGGATGGAGACAGAAGTAGGGGGAGGCGGTATCAACAGTGTCTAGCATGGTCACTGACAGTTAAAGGGCAGGTGCCTTCTGCCCTACTGCTGTCCAAAGCCTCATTGAAAACAGACTGGCACCTGGCAACAGCAGAGCAAACCCCAAATGGGCCTTCGACTCCAGGCCACAGGCTTCTCCACAAGTGTTTTAAAAGGGACACTTTAGGATCTTCTCCCGAGATGGGCACCATCATTAAGGAGAAATTCTCAATCTGAAGTTCAATTTCAATGCACCATTCACAAAAAGTAGGCTCATGCCAGTGGGTAGTGGTTTGAACACAGCTGGTCCACATGTCTGGAGAGACAAGCACACTAGAAACTGAATGGCAGAGTCCACGTGGGCCCCTTGGTCAATGTGGATGAGGAAACTCTGCCACCCAGCCCTCTGGCCCTCATGCTTCACACACCCTGTCCTCCTTCCAGGAATGTGGGGACAGGTTTTGGGGCAGGTGGGCATCACAGATCCATGTGATCAATTTCCCTTGGCCTCCTATGAACGGCCCGGGTGCTAGAGTTTTGTTCTATTGTGTTCATTATTTATTTGTCATGATTTTTTTCACTTTGTTTTTGCTCAATCCTTGTCCCTGTCCTCCAAATATAAGCAAGGACAGAAAGCACAGAACTGTGGAGGGAAAGGGGTGCTGAAAGGCTGGCTTCCCTCCCTTACCCCTGTGGTCCAGGGCTCCAGACACACACAGGCCTCCAGCCAGCCCCACAGCCCCCGGGCCGGGCCTTTGGACATTCTGGTTACAATCAACTCAATGGGGTGATTCCTTTGGCATAAGAGAAGCCAGTTCCTGATGGAAAGACAGGATGTTGGAGGCTTGGGGGTCATCCCAAAGAGTTGGGCACTTTGGCCTTTGGCTCTTCCGGGAGCTTTGACTCATGCGTGGTCCCTACCCCCACCCTCCCCACTTGTCTGTGACAGCTGACTTCCTAAAACTCCGCAGTTAGGGAATTATTTGGCAACAAGGAGGCTAAGGCTGTTTTGTGGTGGCACAGTCTTTAAAAAGTTCAAAAGAAAATATGAGACCTCAGAAAGAGGCGTTCATCCGGGACAGGGCATAAACGTCCCACTATTTGTCAGCGCCAGGGTTGGCGGCCACTATCTCCTCGTACTTTGGGGGTGGGTCGCTGTAAGACATGCTGGCCTCCTCACTGCTGCTCTCTTGGGGCGCAGTCACCTCCTCGTAGGAGGGGGGAGGGGTGGTGCTGGACAGTCTGGAGAGAGAGAGCTCAGGGAGGTAGAGAGTGCTCTCGAGTCGGACTGTGGTCCTGCCCCCCCGACTGGGCCCCACCACCACCTGGGGGCTGCTCACTGCCTCTCGGTGCCCAGAAGGCTCCCCTTGACTATGCATGGTACCCCGGTACACCATGACCCGGGGGAGGGTGTGCCCGGCGCGACTGGCTAGGTACCGGTTCTGAGCATAGGAGGGGTGGTGACGGGTCGCTTTCTGCAGCTGGCACCTCCAGATGATGAACAAGGCGATGACAATCAGCAATGCCACCCCCAGAAGGGGTACCACCACGTACATGGCATCTGAGCTCTGTGAGGGGTCTCGGACTGAGTATACTGCATTTGGGTATCCCTTCCAGAACTCCATCTGCAAAAGAAAAAAGGGGTACTTACGAGAAGCTCAAGCTCCAGGTGGGCTCAGAGACCTTCAGTAAGTCTGCTGCTTCCTACCCTTCCCCATCTGACTTGTCTCAGAGAGTTACTAGAGAGGCAGCAGAATGTACCAAGGGCAAAGGACAATGCTCCCAAGTGAGGAGGACCCCCAAAGAGTCAGACAATGGGACTGTACGGACTTTATCTGCTCCTTGATGGCCCTAGTGGCTATGCCTTACGCTGGGTGGCTTTCCTTGCTTCTGACTCATCTGCATTACCAGGGCCTGTTCTTGTTATTCCTGAGGCTACTTCTACTCCCAGAACCAGCCCCAGGGTGGTACATGCCGTTTTCTCTTTGTTCTCAAACACTTCCTTGACCTCCTCGTAGCTGCAGATCTCCTCCATGCACTCTCGCTCGATGGTGCCCTGGCGCAGCTCCTCCAGGAACTCATTGGCACGAGGGAATCGTTTCAGGACCGAATGGGCATCCTTGGCCTCCAGAAAAACTGAAGAGAGAGCCCTACTGAGGCCTGGAATGGGGAGATGCCCAGGGGCTCCTTCAAACCAGGCCCAGCCCAGCAACTGAAGCATAATTACGCAGGGAAACAAGGCCGAGTGAGTAGGCAAGACACTAGGCTTCTGATCAAAGGACATGGCCAGCCCTTTGTAAAAGGGATAGAAAGGCTGACATTCTATGGTGCCATGATACACCTGTCTAGAATACCATGGCCCCAACAAGGCTCAGGCCCCTGGTTACATGGAAGAAAATGGGAGCCAACTGCAAGGAAAGTGCACGTTGCACAGGAACAATAAAGAATAAGGACTGTGAGTAGGCAATCTTCAGTGACTAAATCTCCAGTATCTTTTGCATCACCTTGAAAAGTGAAAGTTGGAGCCCTTGCAATGAGAATGTATTCCTCTTTAAGGCTGATACTGGTAGAACTAATACCAGATAATCCTGGAAGACTCTACCAGGGTGGCATTCCTCCACCTGAACATCCACCTGTGCCACCAGGTTGTCTGGCATCAATAGTCTTGTTCAAGAAAGCCTAATGCAAAGCCAGCCTGGGCTAGATCAGACAAGTGGGCATACACGAGCCTAAGAGCACCTCTGGGGATGGGAAGTAGCAGGGCTCAGATGGAGAGTCTAAGCCTTTACAGACAGGGCACAGACTCCCCCTACAATACTGTCTTTGGATGGTGCGCATATCTACTTATTCCAGAGACAGAGACCCAGCTACAACCAGGCTGACCAGAATAGCTTGAGCTCTGCACCCACATAAGCCTAAGTTGAGACTGTGAAGGATGAAGGAAGAGGTGACGTTTGCTCCTGTTGTTCACCTAGAGGTGGGACTTCCTGGTTCCCATGTAAAGCAACTCCCCCTGGATGCCCAAGCTGGCATGTCTTTGCCAGTGGGCAAGCACCCTTCCCCAGGTCCTATGGCCTGTCACGTTAGTGTCACTCAGGCAAGTCTGGGTAGGTACACATCTACAAGTAACATATGCTCCAGAAGGGAGCCAAAGTGTTGAGAGGGCAAAACTGCTACTCAGCTATTTGGAAAATGGCTACAGGGCCACTTGGGGGGTGGGGGGCAGGGAAGCTGGGAAGGACTTGAAACCTGACTCATGAACCCCTAAGCATGACCCTCCACGGCTCTGCCCGGGTCTGGAAAAACTCACCTGCCATGATGCTCCCTCAGCTCCAGGGTCTCACTTCTCTGGAGTAAGAGAAAAGCAAAGTTGCAGTGAAACCATATCTAGAAATTTACAGGGAACCCTCTTGGCTCTAGGATGTGCCCCCTTCCCACTGGCCTGGTCAAAAGGTTGAAGCAGCACCTTGTGGGGTGCATCATCCTCCATGCAGCCACCCATAGCTTCTGCTGCTTCTGATTCTGCCCCAAGCTCTTCTCCAGAGACCTCCCCAGGCCCAGCAGGGCCCAAAGCAAACCTTTAAGCGTTTTCCCCCAAGAACATGTTCTGAGCATCTATAAGAACTAGGGGTTGACCTTTTTCTTTAAGAAAGGAAAGCTCCTGCAGACTGAGGCTCCTCCTTCCTTGCTCCCCTCAATGAATCTTTGCAACTTCCAGTTGGAAAGGACCTCAGAGATAGATGAGGAAATAAAGCCCAGAGAGACGTGCTCAGACAAGGTTAAGCAAATCAACAGTGACAGTGGCAGGACCAGAATTCACAACTAATTTTGATCACAATGGTGAGTCACAGATACCTCCAATGACAAGCACGTTCCCTGAAAACAAAGCTTAACACATCATCAACCATCTCAAAAGTCACTGCCCTGCTGGGACTAGCCTACAGCAATCTTCAGTTGACACATCTTCTACAGGGTCTCATCCTCCATGCACAGCAATGCTGCATTCTTCATATTCCCAGGCATATCCAGAAGACCCAAGCCCAGGTGACCCACTGTGTTCATCTTCACCAGACAAAGAGGCAAGATACCTGGAATGTTCTGGAACCAGGCCTCTCTTCTCTCTTTGCATTAAATCCTATAGCAGTAGAGTATCAAGACATGAATTTAGATGACCAACACTCAGATGCCAACTAGAAGAGTTGCCCCTAATGTGAGCTATTGTCCGAAAGCCTTTCTCCTGCTAAGGAGCTATCCAGCCAGTACTTAAACCGTGGTCACAGCACACTGCTCCCTCTGTCCCTCCCCACAACACACACGCCCACTCATACACACACTCTGGAGCCCTTGCTGAGCTGTCCACATCTGGGAGCAATCACCCCACTGCTCCCCTCCCCAAGCAGAAGCTCTGGTTTTATGACTAACTGGTTGCAAGACACGTGAACTGCGGAATCCATTGAGCCCTCCTTTTTGCCTAGGCTGCCAGGAAGTACAGCGTCACTATTGCCAGTCAAGTACAGGCACACTGGAAGCCCAGTTGTTAAGCACATATGCTTCTCTCCTGTGATGTGGTATACAGCTTTCTATTTATGTTTTCAGTGTCTTATTGTGCATGTATAATATGTCACCTAATCCTTTTGGCAAACAGTTGGGATATAAATCAATAATTTAGGCTATCACAGTGGCTCATGCCTGTAATCCCAACACTTTGGGAGGCTGAGGTGGGCAGATCACCTGAGGTCAGGAGTTTGAGACCAGCCTGACCAGAAAATGGTGAAACCCCATCTCTACTAAAAATACAAAAATTAATTGGGCACGGTGCCATGCACGCCTGTAGTCCCAGCTACTCAGGAGGCTGAGACAGGAGAATCACTGGAACCAGGGAGGCGGAGATTGCAGTAAGCCGAGATTGCGCCACTGCACTCCAATTTGGGCAAGAAAGAAAAGAAAGCAAGAAAGCAAGAAAGAAAGAAGAAGGAAAAGAAAGAGAGAGGAAGGAAGGAAGCAAGGAAGGAAGGAAGGAAAGGGAAGGGAAGGGAGAAAGGAAGGGAGAAAGGAAGAAAGGAAGAAAGGAAGAAAGAAAAGAAAGAAAGAAAGAAAGAAAGAAAGAAAGAAAGAAAGAAAGAAAGAAAGAAAGAAAGAAAGAAAGAAAGAAAG